GTTTAGCGCCTTCAGCGGACACGCCCTCAGCATTTCAGAACAGAGAATGCTGCTTATATATTTACGATTTTGATGCCTAATTTTGTATACTTGGTGATAATCCTTTAAATTTGGCTGGGTGGTTAATAACACATTTTTCTGTGGGGTGAAAAAGTCAGTAGACACATTTATTTCTGCTTTACAGGGACTTTAAATATCTTGTCTATTCTGTTTTGAACTGAATACAGGTCAAAAAGGATTTGCTAATCAATGCTTTCTGTTTTTACTTGCATTTTAACTACTGTTCCATTTTTTGCAATTGAGGATGTAGTAAAGTAGTTTAGAAACCTTAAAAGGCTGTGCAGAGTTTATTTTTTTTATTAAGTCTACACTAAAAACAGGTTACTTACTTCATCGTCAAATTACAGGTAGATTTCTCACTGAATAATGACAGTTCTACTGCCCATCAGTTTATGTTAGCTTGCATTATCTACCTTTACAGACAGTAAACTTTATATTCACAGCCTTCAAACTGTATAATTTCACTAGTAAACGTGTAGAACATTTGTGCCATTAAAATCATTAGCAACAACAGCAGTTTATACAGTTTTGATTTTCTTTATGGTGATACCTCTGGTAATCATACTAATCACTAAAACAAACTTGAGTGTGACGAAAATATCGTCCCAAGTTTATGGGAACCTGCATTTGACTAGATTTCCCATATTACAGCAATTATAAAGCCGTATAGCAGCAAAACTATATTTTATATAGTTAAACCATAGGCTATGGGTTGATACCCTTGTTAACTAAAGTAGGAAGCTAACAGGTCCTAGCAATAAAACATACATAAACATTTTTTAACAGTACCTGTTCAGCTTGGATTAGCTTGCTAGGCAGCTGCTCCCACAGGCTGAATTTGAGCTGTGTAAAGCAGACATGTTGGCAGGTTTTCAGGAAGCATATTTGGCAGCTGATAATAACTTTCTTTAGTTCATTTGAAAAACAATGAAGATGATTGTTTTGATAAAGTATAGTGTGTGCTGGTAGCGTTCTCTTCTCTTTCTTTCTCTGCTCAATTTCACATCTCTTAACTTGTCTGAAGTGTTTCTGCGGCTGGGAGCTTTGTCTTGCTTTGTTTTGAATGGTTTTCAGAACAGATTCTTTTAAATATAAATGGGCTTTCTACTAATTGGTTTACAAGCTGATACACTCACAATTTATTTTTATTCTTTAACGTTATTAAAACTTAAAAGTGTTTCATTAAAATGGATTCAGGTACTATTATATTTCAAAAAGTCCCATTACAGGGAAAAATGTTCGCAAGTAACGAGGGTAAAAGTAATTTGTTACTTTCCACCTCAGACTTGTTACTGCAGTCCACTGTGCTACTACTGAATGTCCTGTAATGCTATAAGTTTTTTGCATATATTGAACTGTGCTGTTCTCACCCCTATCTGGATTTTGAGGTCTCTAAGGGAGCAGTTGCCATACTAGGCAGTAATGTAGGCAGTCAGAATGCTCTGGTACATCAAAGTTGGTAAGGATGTTCAGGACCAGGCCAAACATCTTGAGCCTCTGCAGGAAGTATAGTTATCCGTGATTTAACATAGTGATGATGCCTCTGAAACCCAATGAGCAAATCTATTCAGGATCCACGCAGCAATGATGATCCTGGAACAATATTTTCAAGACTATCCAAAATCCATAACCCTTTGAATTCATAGATTTCCTAAGCTATTTCCAGACCCTCATTGCCATATGGTCCTGGACAGAGCTGCTCATGCTGTTCCATGATCATCACCACTGTGTAGATTCTGGATAGATTTGTTATTACTAATAAACATGACTATGTTGAACGAAGTGAACAGGATGGACTATGTTTCAAAAGGTCTGTAAGACATTCTGGGGCTAAAAAGTAAAAGCATGTACTACCATCTCAAGATCAGGTAGGAATATGTCTCATTTTTGCTGCATTTTTCAAATGATAAAATGCAGTTTCAGAAATGTGTATATGGAAATCAAATGATAAACCAGAATCAACACCAAGGTCTGCAGCTTTTGCTTTCATGGAAAAATTATCAAGCTCTAGTGTGAAGTCCACAACCTTATCTTGAGCAGACTTAGGACTTAACATCAGTGCTTATTAGTATTTAGATGAAAAAAGTTTCTAGTCATTCAAGATTCAATGTCTGTCTTCTATTTTATATAACTGTGCTACTGAAACTGGCTGAACTGATAAGTTCAGTTCAAGCACTGTTTGTCATCAGCATAAAAATGAAAACAGGGCTCTTTGCCCTGGTTGGCTCACAGTCTTATGTTGGGGCAAGCACAGTAGCTCTTAAAGACGCAGAAAGCTCTTGTAGCTTCTGAAAGCCCTTGTAGCACTGTTCTGTGAGTGAAGCGGGTGTTCTGGAGTGGCACAGAGCAGTACTCCACTACAGACCCCTTCCCCAAGTCAAGTCATTCCATCCACTCAGTGTTGTTCAGTTTAATGCCAGCTATTCCTTTAAAAAATGCCATGAATACTTCTTTGATTGAGTGGTGAAATGTCATAGATATTGACTGATAAATTTGAAAGCTATTATAGCTAAATATGCCTTTATTACGCAGTATGTTTTAGTTGGGCTGATGACATAATTTGACAGTACATCCGGTTTACTGGAAGTTTAGGGACAGACCAGGCTTGTTTTGACAGTGCAATCAGGTTTAATTTAGTGCGCATCTGGGTGTGAAACCCCTGATGTTATTGGTTTAGTGAAGCCTGTGTTAAACTGATACAAATCTGCTACTAAGCTAATGACAGAGCAGTAGCCCCAGCAGGTTTTTAAATTATTGTAACCAACTTATAAAGACAAAACCACAGATGATTGATTGGCTTTCCCTCTTGGTAGGTGTTGAAGAATCAAACCCTCTGTAAGAACCAGGAGATCAGTATTGAGTCTGGGGAATAGATTTTTTTCTTGCACGCAATTCACAGACAGAACAAGCTGACTCGCTGAGACATTGTGCTTATATAGGCTTTTACAGGCATTATACATGTGTATGTGTGTATATGTGGTTCTGAATGTGTATATGTTTAAGTATTGTATATTTCTATCTTCCTTAGCTTGCTGAGATTGTTTGAGTAAATGAGCAACTTGTTGCAAAAAGAAGAATAACAAGCAAAGAAAATAGAAAAAATCAAGAGACATTTTCAAGACATAAAAAGAGCATTTGCAATAACACTGGCAACACCTTTCTTGTGTTTTCATTTCCAGATTAAAATCTTGCAAGATCAAGAATCATCTCACAAGTTGCCAGTTCTGGTTATGCATTCTGGACAAAAATATGGAAAAAAGTGGCTTAAGGTCTGTAAAAACGACCACAGGCATAAAAGAACTGCAGTGCTAGAAACCATTAACCATTGCTCCATCTGTTTTTCCCTGTTTTTGTATTCTAATATTTTATACTAATGCTGTTTGCTATCCGGTGTTGACCAGAGGAGGATGGGCTCCACTTTTGAGTCTTGGTTCCTCTCAAGGTTTCTTCCTCTTGCTCTTAGGGAGTTTTTCCTTGTCACTGTCGCCATTGGCGACGCTCATGGGGGCTCGGACCTGGATTTTTCTGTAAAGCTGCTTTGTGACAACACCTGTTGTAAAAAGTCCTATTTAAATGAACTTTGACTTGACTTTGACTAGAAACAAAGCTAAAGCTTCCTTTTCAGTGGGGGGAGTACTGCACCTGATGTTTGTTACATTTTCTAGAAAAGAAGCTAACAGTGTGAACAGTTTTATTGTCATCCTCCTAAAGTTGGACTGCTTCAGCCTTAACATATCTTGAATCAACAATCTGAAGCCAGCAGCAGCTCATTAACCACTTTAGCTAGTGGTGATTCTGTGCTATGTTTTTTTTTTTTCCCTAACCAAATTCCCTTTTATATTCTATTGCAGAATCAGACATTTTTTTCTTAAATCAATATGCACTATATGGACAAAAATATTGGGACACATCTCTTAATCATTGAATTCAATATTATTCAGTCCCATTGCCACAGGTGTATAAAATCAAGCACCTAGCCATGCAGTCTGCTCACTGAATTTGAGGTGGACCTGTAATAGGATGCCATTGTTGCAACAAGTCAGTTCATTAAATTCCTTTCCTCCTAGATATTCCATCATCAACTGTGAGTGGTATTATTGAAATATGGATGCGTTTAGGAACCACAGCATCTCAGCCACGAAGTGCTGAGAAGTGCCACGAAGTGCCGAGCTGAGTGCTGCGGCGCATAGTGCCTGACTGCATTGTGTCAACTGTAAAGTTTGGTAGAGGATGGATAACACTATGCGGTTGCTTTTCAGGGATTAGCCTAGGCCCCTTAGTTGCAGTGTAGGGAAACCTAAAACTTTGTGAGAACAGTTTGGAGAAGGCCCTTTTCTGTTCCAGCACGACTGAGCCCCAGTGCAAAAAGCAAGCTCCATAAAGGCCTGGCTGGGTGAGTTTGGTGTGGAAGAACTTGACTGGTCTGCACAGATTCCTGACCTTAACCCTATCAAGCACCTTTGGTATGAACTAGAATGGAGAGTGCGAGCCAGGCCCTCTCATCCAACATCAGTGTCTGACCTCACAAATGCGCTTCTGGATAAATGGGCAAATGTATCCACAGACACTCTCCAAAATCTTGTAGAAAGCTTCCCAGAAGAAAGGAAGCTGTTATAGCTGCAAAGGGGGAACCAACTCTATATTAATACCTTTTGGGTTTAAAAGCTCCTGTAGGTATAATGTGTAGGTGTCCCAATACTTTTGTCCATAGTGTACTTCCAGTGCATATATCCACTGAATATACTGAATATATATTGAACTGGGTATGAACTGGAAGTATATTAAATAACAAAAATAAAACCGTCTGAATACTTGTTTTCCCTCACTGTAAAGTACTGTTAATTTACATTACTCGTATCATAAGTACATCTGTGCTCCCTCCCTTTTGACCTTTGTACGTCAGAGAGTGGTGCTATATTACAGTCAAAAGAGGTCAATGTTCATCGAGGTCTGCAGTTTAAAAGCTGCACATGAGCTGTGCACCGCTGTAGACTTTCTTAAAATCTAATATAAACCACTTTCAAATACTTTCATAAATGTGACTGCAAACTGACTCGATATTAATCTGTAATTAGTGCTTTGCTAGCAGATCCTGAACGATGGGTGCAAAGGTTTCAGTCAAGAATGAGACTCCGTACACTTGGTACTACTCCAGATCAAGTTCAAGGGTAAGAACTTTCATTACATTTAGTAGTAGTAGATCAACTTTGACAAATAATAACCTTTAAAATTTAAACTCTCAGCCAGATCAATACAAAAGCTTATTTAGCCTCATGTTTAAATGTTTTAAATTCTTTACTATTCCTTATACTGATGTATAATCAAATAGCAAGAAAATATACTGTTGTTCACTATTGATACACTGTATGTGTAAAAGTTTTTATGACATAGTTGAAAAAACATTTATAATTTTGCTCCTCAGGGATTTCAGGCCGTTAGCAGCGGCAGTAGGGCAGAGTATGGTGAGAACAAGGCAATCCATTGCTATATCTACTTAAGATATGAAAAACACAGTTGGAATACCTTTTCATATGAGTTCAACACCCATAAAGGTGACCCTACATTCACCTTACGGGAAAGCTATGACCGCTCCTGCATTCAACTGCACTGCAGCACTGAAAGAAATGTTCCACAGTGTCCAAACTATGGTAAGTTCTTGCAAACAAAAACCTATACAAAAATATATACATCCGTTTTGCACCAAGCCCAAAATATATAAGGAACCAGTGAGGGCTGGTCATTATATTGGATGAGAGGGCTAAAAATAAATGACACCTACCAATAGCTCACACACTGTAGCATCACATTTGAGAGTCCCTTCACATCTACAGCAATAAATCAATGAAATAAGCTGCCTAGCTCACTACTGGTCACTCTTAAATGTTGATGTGAACCATTAGCTAGAAACTATAGCAGGTGAACACAACAGGATTTCCCTTTTTATAAACTACAACATGAACAGAATATGATAGGATTTAAGTTCAGATCTTTACTGAAGGACTCTGTATATTGGACAGCAATGTACAAAATATCTTACATAAATGGAAACATATACCTTAATGTTAAATAGAGAAACGCCAAAAATTAAGCTTCTCCAAATCGTGTTTTCATCTTTATTTTTTTATTTTTCGTATGTTACTTGTGTGTTAATAGTGTGTCAAAATATGTTGTAAATTGCATAAGAATTTTAAAGTTTACATGTTTTATAAACCTATTCAGATGTGGGTAGGAACTAGTTACATTTACTCAAGTACATGTACTTCACTAAATTACTAATGGATTTTTACTCCCTGAGTATTTTCAAATCATATTACTTTTACTTCTACTAAAGTATATTAGTGAGTAAAGGAATCTTTTTACGCTTTTACAATTTAGCCATTCGTATTTAGACACTAATTCCTTGTTGTGTTTAATTTCAGTTTGTTTTGATGTTGGAAATATTTGTACTGCTTTCTGATTGGTTACATATCTGACTTTGGAGCTTTTTATTTTAGACCCAAAAAATCCCAGAAAGAGAAGAACAGAGCTGAGAGCCGCACAATCTTCAGGTCCTATGCTGATAAATGCTGGATGTAGTAAGAAGTTCCACTGCAGTACTCAGGACTTAAGTAGATTTTCGACCTGCGGCTTTTCTGTTTCTACTCAAGTTCTTTTGGGGAAGATACTTTTACTTAATCATTTTATGGGAGTATCAATACTTGTACTTGAGTGTGTATTTAGGCTCCTCTATCCACCTCTGAACCTGATGATGAACAGTGTGAGTGTTTGTTTTGATGCTGCTTCAGTAGCTGCAGCCTCAGATAGCAGTATTTATTAGCTAATATCTCTGAAAAACATCAGGCTGTTGTTGCCAGTTCATTCTCTAAAGACCACCACAGTTTGTTTTTTGTGAAATTTGATTTCTTTCCTTTTCTTCGGATGGTGGATTGTAAGGGCTAAAGTGGACTAAATTACACACGTGGGTGTTTGTCTATTGATCTGAAGTTTTGCAGGGATTCAAGCGCTCTGTTACTCCCACATTCAAAGGCATATCCTTATTTTATTGCTTGTCTTTCATTATTTACAGCAGCTCGCAGTGCAGGACTGATATGAGCGTTTGTAAAGAGTAACATGTTAAAGCAGCAGATTGTGCAGACAGTACAGCAAAATTGTGCACTGGAAAAAAATGTTTTTGGGGTTGAATTTCCTTCGTGAATTAGCGCAGTTCAGTCGCTTGGTGAGGACCTGAATTCGGGTGGAGTCACATGTCAAAACCGAACTGAAGAAAAATCCACACCAGGGCGGGTCTGATAGCGCCTCCCAGCTGAAATGCAGATTTTGAATGACTCTGCCGCTCAGTTTTACTCTGTCTTGTTGTGCTGGTCAGCGCTTCATGCAGTTTAGGGAAAGAGGAGGTTTTTATGTGCGCATCCTGAACTCAGAAAGTAGTGCACTTTGAAAAGTGGTAGGTCAAATGCCTGCTTGCCACTGTGGTTCCTTTTGTATTCATTACTTATGTTAGTAATTCAATCCCATGCAGTGTCCTTGTGCAAAACTGTCCTGTTACATTTATAAAGTGATTACCAAAAAATGCTATTTTATGTTTCTTAATTTTTGTTCAAATATGAGGCACGTGAAAATTACCAGACTTTTCATCCTAAGACATAAAAACCAGGCCAGAATTATTCCCGAAAGAGATAGAAGTGTAGAAAAGAAAAGAAGAGAAGCACAGAACAGTAAACAGAAGTTTGTATTATTGCTGCTCCTCATTCACTGGAACATCTTTAAACAGGAAAAATGGAAGAGGACGCAATCTCTAATGAACAGGAGAAAAAGCAGCAAGAAGAACAATGCAGACAGCAAGAGGAGGAATAGAGGCACCTGGAATGTTTGGAACAGGAGCAACAGATTCAGGAACAGGTAGAAAAAGAGTGAAACTTCCAGAAGTTTGAGCAAGTGAGCGATTTAATGAAAAACAATGCTTCAAAGGCCATGCACACCACCATGAACAGTGCATGGTAGTGGAGAAGATGAAACATCTGGCAAGAAACTCTTCACTCCAGGCAGGCAGCATTTGTATTTGGATTAGCATGTTATGCAATTTTATTTTTAATATACTTGATGTACATGAGCGGCTTTGCTTTGCACCTGTGTGGACATAAACACTGTAACATGAACAGTGCTGGCGAAAACATAGCTCTCATTCTAAACCTAAATGAAAACAGCACTGAGTAGTCCTTGCAAACTAATCCGAATATTTTTTTCACTCAGACAAAAGGAAACTTAACACTAAGTATGTAACTACAAATAAACCTAGTGTGGTTAAGTAAATGTGCACCACTGCTAGCTTTCTGCTAACATAGATTCTATAGAGAACAATTGGAAATTAGCATCATTGTAGCGGTGGTAATCAGATATACCGGCAGATAGATCCTGAGAAATGTCTTTAGCTCAGTCTCACACTGAAGAGGTGAGTAAAAATCTGACCATTAATTGAAGTAAATTTATTCCTAGAAAACAAAGACCCTGACCTAAGTTTTTTTTTTTCAGTGCAGCCCACATGTTGTCAATGGGGTTTAGTTCAGGGGACTGGGATGGTCATGTTACAAGCTTGATTCAGTGGTCACTGAACTAGTTTGGGGGATCTCCACAGGAAAATCCAACCACAATGTAGTGTGAACTTCTTGGAAGTGGCAGATGGATTTAAAAGGTGAGTTTGTTAAGAGAAACACACAGGAGAGAACATATCACGCTAACTCGGGCATCATTACACTGACCTCCAGTCCCTTTTAGGACATATTTTAAAGTACTGCTATTGGTTTTTAAGGCATTAAATAGATTAGCACCGCCATTCATAGATTGTCTGTCTCCAGGGGCATGAGAAGTAAGGGAGCTGAGGGAGCTTGTCATCTCCCGCCACAATGATACATTCTGTGGCATTTTATCCAAACATTCTGTGGCATGGTATCCAATCAACCGAAATGAAGATAAAAAAAAAAAAATCACACACAGTATTTATCATGACGACAAGGTGTACATCACCTATACGCTCCAAAACACACCCAAAAAATATTGAGACTAGACAGACATCTGTGCAGAACTCTAAGAAGCAGCTAAAGACAAATATATTTAACTTTTTTTTTTATAAATTCCATTTTTTTTATTTTGTTTTAATTATTATTGTTATTGCTATAACTTTTTACCTTTCATTGTTGTTTCTTTTATGTTTCATTTTACATTATTTTACCATATTCTTACTGCTTCTGTGTTAGTTTTTTTAACCCCCTGTGAAGCACTTTGAGCTGCAATATATGTATGAAAGGCGCTATACAAGTAAAGGTTAAATGCAGTGCAGTCCTATACTATCAAGAAATAAATGTTTGCAACAGTTTAATGTAAAAACTATTCCCTACAATTCACTACAAAAACTGGCAAAGAAAATTTTAATACACAATTATGGAAGTTCAGCACATATCCAAATACAGAATAGACAGATAATTAGACAGTCAACATTACTCCATCCATGTGTGGAGGCACTCTAGTGGAGCGTTTTTTAACCCTGGTCCTGAAGTCCCCCTTGTCCTGCATAATTCAGTCTTCCCAACACATCTGACTGAACTGATCAGTTAATTAACAAGCCCTTCCCAAGTAGAACCGGGTGTGTGAGAGGTACTCCAGGACCATGACTCAGAGCATTGTACTAGAGTGACATATTTCCTTCCTCCAAAACACATTGCTGTATTTAGCTTTAAGAATATATAAGCATCAGTCATGGCTGACATTAACAAGTGGATGGCACTCAGTAGTCCTGTCCCAAAAAGCTCAATAAGCCCTGCGGTCCTCCTCTAAGTCCACACATAGATGACGTAATCAAAGAGTGAATGTAGAGTTGTAACAATCTGATCAACTCAGCAGTTACTAATAAAATCCGATCACTAATTTGGTGAGAGAAAAAAAAACAAAAAAACGTGAGCACCAGAATACAACAGAGCTTGCACAAGTTAGCTTTTACTTATTCTTATTCCCCAGAACAGACAACACTAACAGCATCTGCAACAGCAACAGCACCAGCAAACAAGCAGAGAAGCAGTAGAATATAAGATCTGAAGCAGAAGTCCATTAGATGGGATAGAGTTATTAAAGATTGTCTCTATTGAATCCAAAAAGAGAGGTCGTCCAAAAAATGTCCAACTGCCACCATAGTCCAAGCAAACAGTGTCCCAAAAATACCCAACAATCAAAAATCAAAAAAGGGGCCAGCAATGCAAAAAAAACAAAAAACAGGAATGAGCTCACCCAGTTCCTTGAGGTAACTCCACAGTTAGAGAGGGATCCACTCTTCAAGGACAGAGATGAGTAAAAAAGGAGTAAAAGTTAGTTAGGGCTTGAACAGCAAGGCTCCACCAGGCCTGTCTTCCCCAAACTTGATCCTCCAAGAAAATGGCTGCCACACTTCCCTTTCCTGTTCCCAAACCAGGGTTTATATTCAAAATAAAGAGTCCCCGTTGGAATGCCCAGGAAACATTTTCAAACAAAAAATATGGAAAACATAATAAAAATACCAGACATAAGATGAGGCCACAACTTCTATCAGACCATCCCAGTGAGAAGTCATAAAGGAAATTAGACACTTTATTTTCTGTGGGGTAACCTAAATAACACTACCTGAAATCTATGTTAGTGTTGATCATTAAAAATAGGTACTCCACAGGTCCCCTTATGTGGTGGTGTCACAGAGTGCAAGAGACCTTGAGGGCGTTTGGGCCAGATCATGTGACGTGCAAGCTCTGCATGTGCTAGATTGTTACAGGTCACATTTTTTTACTTTATATACCTTTATATACACACACACACATAAGCTTACATAGAAAAAATTCTAAAAAGTTCTATTTGGGAAGATTTCAGTCAATCATGGTGAATGACATTATGCGTATACATATGAAGTGGATATATGCACTGGGAGTATATTCATTAAAGAAAAAAGCCTGAAAACTTGTTTCTTACTATATTTTTACTATTACAGATGGGGTTGATTTAGTTTGAAATGTGAACAGATGAGTGATCTTCTTTATTAGTTTCCAAAACTTTGCAAATTTGGAGGTGATGATCTGCAAGCACCCAGTATATTTACACCACTATGAAACGTTCATACTGCACTTCCACTGTGAATTAGAAGTCATGTTTTTTTGTCCACAAGGTGGCACCAAGTGTTCCACTACAATCCTCCCTCATTTTTATCAGTTTGCATCTGTCAGCCTAAAAATAAGTAAATCTATACAGAACAGAATGAGGTGTAAACAAACAATATATAAAATTATAGATAAGACTATTATTAATTTTACCAGCTGCATCAGGCCCATTCAAACTGGCTCCCCCAGCTTTCCTTTTATACATGTTTAAATGTAAAATATTATTTTACTATATACTGTACTATATACTATTCTATGGCTTGGTTGAATACTTGATGGTTATTATTTACTCGAAATGTGCTTCCATATTGCTCAGTATGTAGTTATTGTTAATCCATTGCTTTCCAATTTGCGTTAGTCGAGAGTTGTAACTAAACCATGACTGTGAGACTAGATAATCATGGTCTAATTTCAAAATGATGTGCACCTATGAGGAGTGTGCCATCACGCCCATATACTGTCTGCACTGGTCTCCACAGTATCATCACTATTGTGATGTTTTCTTTTTTCATGACCAGATGGATAGTTACATTTCATCCTCTCATCCTTGACACAAGGGGGAGGCAAGGCCCTTGTATATACTGCGGAGCCCTACGCAATGTGCGTAGTGAACATATAGGGCTGACCGACTCTGTATTTAAATTAGCTAGCAGGCTAACAGTAATTTTGTAGTGAGACAGTGAAACAAATATATCTAGGTTAGCTGGCAAGCTAAGACTAATCCTGCACTGAGACAGACAGCGCTAATTCTGTTACAAATGCCACACAACAACCAGAAGAATATAGTTAACATCATAGTTTTTACAAAAAAAAAATTCTTTGTTGTGTCACAAGAACATAGTACAGAATTTTACATACAGATTTCTGTCAGACTCTGTACTCTTGCCTGATGAAACTGTTTATCTGTTTTCTGTTCTAATCAGCCCCTGACTGACATGCTGAGATGTTACTGTTAAGTGGGTTATTACATTAACCCAGCAGCTAAACTACCCAAAACTACCCAGCACTGTGTAAATTACCCCAAAAAATGACCCAATAGGTTTAACCCAGCAGTATTTAGAGTGTGGCAGAATATGATATAGTTTCAGTTAGGCGAAAAATATCAGTAATAACACTAAAAATAGAAAATGTCAATGTATGTAGTGAAACAGTGCATAGTGAATACAGATTTGCACCCTGGCTGGGTCCCTGCTAGCAGAAACGTGCTTTGTGCTTATAGCCATACTATTGGTTTTATGATGGAATATCCATAAAGCTAATTTTCTTTAGCATTTTAGCGCTAAGCTAGCCATGATTCACATAATCAATTTATAACAGCCGTAGCTAAAACACATTAATGACTGAATAGACATTCATTTAACATTTCAGTAACGTTTCATCTGACCGTTTCGATAAAGATTTAAACTTAACCCTGAATATTTCTCAAAGGGCCCAATTAGCATTTTAGCTGTTAGCTATCAGCTTGTTAACAGGTCAGCCTATATAAATGTCATATTTCGTTCATGACATGAATAAAGAAAGTGCAATACTTGTGAAACATTGTTATTATTTTATAGGTGGTAAGTTCTTTACATTAAAGCATGTAAGTAAAGTTAAATCAGAGACAAATGAGTAGCTAAGGAGCTGACAGGTTGTTTTTGTTAGTTGAAAATAGGCAGTGACAGGAGTGCCTCGCTAGAACAAAACCTTTATTGTTGGTAAAATTGTGAAAAATGAACATTTAATATTTTTTGAGGCAGAGAAGTAAGTAAAATAACAAAACCCTAATAGCAAGAGGCTACTGGACCATTGTCGGCCTGCTGATGGCAAAGCTGGCGGTCCACTGGCCTTTTGGTCACCGGTGTTTAAGCAGAGTATTAGGCAAAATTCCACTTATCACTCATTTTCCACTCCAATTTACTTATTTTTCCTTCCTTCATTTCTTTAGTTATACTTTGTAAATTAGTTTAGTAAATCATTTTAATCTAGCACAGTGTCAGCGACATTTTCTATAAAATCATTTTATGTTAGGCCTAGTCATTATCTTTTCTCTCTCAGTTGTTTGTACAATTTGTCTAAGCTTATTTTCTAAAATAAATCTAGAATTTGTTTGAGTAGATTAAAAACTAGTTAGAGCTTGTATGCAAGACAATAATCTGGGTGGTCCGAGGGTGGACCAGCAGTAACAAACAGTCAGTGGGGTGCCAACCTTATCAAGCCAGCAGACGAATCTATGCTGCTATCTGGAAAACCCCTGTCCTCCTTAACACTTTCTGAAAATCTAGCTGGAGATGTGATGCTGTTTCCGGTGTGAAGCCCACTCACATCCTCGTTCTGATTTCACTTCCCTGGGACCTTCAGGCAGAAATAGCAAGTTAGCACATTTTCATGCCTTCAGGCCTTCACACACACGCGCACACACACACACATTCTCTAATGTGCTCATCCTTCTGGGTCGCAGGGGGCGCTGGAGACTATCCCAGCTGTCATTGGGCAGAAGGCAAGATACACTCTGGACAGGTCACCAGTTCATCGCAGGGCAGACAGACAGACATTCACACTCACAATCACACACACATTCACACCTAGGGTCAATTTAGCGTGTCCAATTGGCAGGCCGTTACAGTTAAATGTAAAACTTGTCACTGATTTTAATTCAGTTGTAAGCTAGCTTTCTTGTGTTTATTTACAAATATACATACATTCAAATCCTGTAGATTCATGAATATACTGGGACGTAACTTTTTGCAAAAGGCTCTAAAGTACAGCATTAATCAAATGGGTAGCCAGATGTTATGTACTCATAAATGCTCTGAGGTAGATTAAGCTGATGTTCCACATGCTGCCAATCTTTTATTAAGTCATGTATTCTAATGGACTTTCAATGTATCATTAAAATCCTGAAACATGAACCACCCTAAACAACTTGAGGAACTGAAATGTTTTTGTTTTTTTTTATTTTATTTTCTGCATTATTCTATTGTTGAGATGTAAACAGTCATTTAGAGTAGTTTGATGTGAACTGATGCACTGTATAGAAACATACCGACTCAGCCTTCTTTACAGTGGTTGGTGACAGGAACCAGGGGTTGTGATGTCTACAACACAAATATAGCCATTTTATTAATTAACCAAAACAGTGAACCTACACAGTTTTTATATATGATGTTGATAATGGATAGTGATATATCTGAGAGAATACATTTTCTTTGCCTTTTAACACCCTCATTTACCTCTCCGCCATGAACGGATTTATTTCAAATAAATTTTTAGAGGCATTAAACTCTAGAACAAAGCATTTCCACTGGAAATCATACCACTCTGTGACCATTTCAGGCAGAAATTTGAAGAGTAAAATTTAATGTAGCAACACCAAGTTGTTTTAGAATCACCATCATTCAATAGCCATCAAGTACCAAAGGTGTTTCCAAAAGTCCAAGGGTCACTGCCAAGGGAACTGTCAATAAGTAACCCATTAAAGCTTTCATCCTTGATTCTGATTCTGATATCTCAAAGTAGAGATATCAGTACTGTCTTCTAAATTCATATCTTTGTGCAGATGCATTATAGCATCTTTAATTCACAGCTAGATATGGTTCCCCAGACAGTTTAGATGAGATTGCTTGGGGTTGTTTATACAGATTTTATGTTATGCAACTGTGGATGGTGGTTGGTCTTCAGGTGTTGATTCGCCATAAAGGATAACAGCTATCATTTGGAAATCCTCTAGTTTCCAGAAGTGCAATGAGTATGACAATAGTGTTAATGTGAAAATGTGCCGACTGTGCCTTTTTTCACTTTAAACTTTGAACTACTTCACCACCAGACATTAAAACTGGACATGAATGTTGCAAAGCAGGTTACAGCTTAGAGTATTGTAATGCTTACAGGCTCTACTGTAAGATTCAGGTTACTATTTAGGTTTACTTCATTACAAACAGAGGAGTGCAAATGCACAAATGTTGTATTCATGTAACATTTATATTTAAGCCTCAAATCAAATACTGCCAATAAATGTAACAATCACATGTGCTGGTTCATGTATTGTAATAAAGTGGAGAGCAGCTTAAACTGAAGGGTGCAGTTATACTTTAGAGTAGTAACACATTGGTGTGTCAGCGATTGGACTTCAGACAGCTATTGAAATTGTCGTTGTATTCTTTTCAACGTAAGTGGATATGTAACATCAAATTTGCATAACTGGGAGGAGACAGACACTCAAGCCTTTGGTTGTAGAGTCCTTAGGTAAAGAGTGTATTTCAGAGGCTTGAAAATGAGAGACTATGATGACATCACATCCTTCCTTGGAACATGGGAGACCGTTTCAACTGACTGTTTTCTTGGCGCTGGCCATCAGCATTCTCCCAAATGGTTTTGTGGGCGTCTACATAGTGTTTGTGGGTGACACTCCACCACATGAGTGTCTGATTCCAGAGGAGTACAACATCAGTGAGATATGGAGGGAGGCCGCTATTCCTATGATAACCCAGGATGGAGTTTTAAAACGAAGCTCCTGCAGCAGGTACAAAGTGGACACACTGAGAAACTACTCCATGCTAGGCTACATCCCAAATGTGGATGTGAACATGACTCACATTGAGCTGGAGAGCTGTCTGAATGGATGGAGCTATAGCAAGGAGATCTATCAGTCAACTATAGTTACCGAGGTGAGAATACAGCTTTTCATTTGAATTGAAATATAATTTAACAGGGTAAGGATTAATAATAGCTGCATTATCTACTGTGGACTTCTCATGCTGCCTTTAAGTCCTCCTCAGAAGTTCCTACTAAGGACTTCCGAGGTTGTTACTATAACATATGTGTTCAAGTGATTTTGTGTGGCGGTAAGAGGATAAATAATATTTTTTTCTTTTTTCTTTGTCAAAGAGAAAATGTTTATTATGATGAGTTTATAAAGTTTACTCATCTATGAAATGCACTATATAGATAAATGATGTTTATATACTAAGAAGCATCAGATAACATGCTAATATAGTTTCTTTGCACGTAGATGAGAGAAACACATTAAAGAAAGATTTTCTATGTGGTTTTTAAAAAACTAAAATATACCAAGTTTTTGAGCGTTCCATCATATAGCACACCTGATTCAACTCATTACGTAATTAATAAGCTCTTCGTGTGCTAGGTCAGATGTGTTAGATTAGGAAGAGCAGTATCTGCTAGACGGAAGCATCCTGAGAGCACTCCAGCCAAGATGTAATGTAGGTTTTGTTGTTGTTGTTTTTTTTTCTATTTGCCATGTCAGATTTATAAATTGTGTGTGCCAGTCTTGTCTCATCACTGCAAGTCCCTTGGAGTTGTCTAAGACCTCTTGGTGGCCTGTCCTACTATGAATTTTTTTTTTTGCCTAGATACTTTTTGAGAGTGGCCTATTGTGGCACATTCACAGTTGTCCGATATGTTCTTACAGTTATAATGATGGACTTCCATATATCGTTAAATGCTGTGTCTTGGAAATTGTCTTCTATCGTTGCCCAGATTGGATAACCTGGAATCTGATCTCAGATCTGATCATTGGTCTTCATTAGAAATGCAGTAACTAGGGAAGCTTCCAGACATCTATATTTAACCTGAAATCATGTGAAACACCTCAGCTATACACAGATGAACTCCAATCAATCATGTATGTCACTTGGAGGACTTAAGGTTGGGTTGATGAGTGACAAATAGTTCTCAGTTAAACACATTATGGTTCCATGCTGTAAATTGTAAGACGTCTAAAGGGTAAACACTTTTTATAGGGATTGTATATTACTCTCAATAAAACCTGAGCTTTCATGTGAATGTGTGATCCATACAATTCTAGCATTCCAATAAGTAATAAAGTACTTCCAACCTAACAGGCATCGTTATGGTTTTAGTGGGATCTGGTGTGTGAAAATGAGTTTAAAGGACCCCTAAGTTCATCAGTGTACTTCCTTGGTGTTCTGATGGGAACCTTCATTTCAGGACAGCTGTCTGACAAGTAAGCAATTAAGAGCTGATCTTTAATGCACACCTCTCTCTACTGTAATCTATTGGCATTGTACCAACAGGCAGTGCAGCACAGTATGGTATGATTACAAATCCATGTGAGAAATCTTGTGACCACACAGGCTACTTTTAACAGTTCTTTTATGCAATGGGAAATGGACACAGGTACTTGACCAGCATGCGGATAGTTCAAGGTTAGGATTTATAACTGTACTGTGCTGTGCTATGCAGTACTGGCCGGTGGAAAAACGCCATAAATGAACATTCATTTTTGTAATTAATTTGATGTTGATGTATACATAACATGAATATTAATCTTACATCCAGGTATGGCAGAAGACCAGTGCTCTTTGCCATGATGGCAATGCAGACAGCAACCATTTTCGTCCAGATGTTTTCTCCAAACTGGGAGGTGTTCACTACAATTTACTTTTTTGTGGGATTCAGTGGGTTTTCGAATTATGTCGTGGGCTACGTGCTAGGTACACAGCAAATTTGTTCATGACCTTCACAAAATCAATTACCAAATTTTATGCTATGAACATAACAGTAATGATAGATCTCTTTTGGTGAGCAGGATCAGAGATTCTAAGCCCAGAGACACGTGTGGTGTTCTGCTCTTTGGGTGTCTTTATGGGATCAGGGATTGGCCAGCTGTTCCTGCCACTAGCAGCATACTTCATCCGCTCGTGGAGATGGCTGGTACTAACCAATGCTCTCACTGGATTATTGTATATTCCATTGTGGTGGTGAGTGTGTGGGAATTTGTAACACATCAACATCAACAAAAGTTCAGATATATTCAGAACTTCAGTATGTGATACACTGGAGCCAAGAACAGTAAGATGCAAATTCAGATTCTGTTCGCTTGCATTCATCCAGTAATCATAGTCAAAGTTTAACTTGGGATACTCTGTGAAAATGAACCAAAGGTAAGCACCAGACCAATTATCATTTTTACCAGTTGACTAGGCAGAAGGGTATTTTTTGTTTTTCAGTAAGTAAAATCTACACAGCTTTCAGAAACTCACCTCTGACGGAGTATTTAAACTGGCTCTGTTCCATGCACTGCCTGCTGGGAAACAAACAATTGCTTATAAAGTTAAATGCTAGTAGTAAGTAGTTGCATCTCTACTCACCAATAAGCCTTTCAGATATAGGCCGAGACGAACTAGGAAAAATTCATGATATCCAATTCTAAAAAATGTTTTCTGCATTGTGTTTGAAACCGAAAGTAGCAAGTAAATGAGAGGTCCTAGTGCATTTGCCAAATGGAACCCCAAGTTTGTTATCATTGTACATGTCTAGCTAAATGGTCTGTGATGGCTTGTTAGTCAAACGGCCCTTTTCTATCGTTATTCTCAAGACCCACCCTGTGGAATTAATTTGATCTTGTGTACTTTTCCACACTAATTAAGTACTTTGGGCTTTGTGATTGGCAGAAAAACTGATTTCTGTTTTCTCCTGTTCACTGCAGTTTTTGCCACTGCACTGTCCTCTAGTCGACTAGCCCATGGCAAGCCCTATATACTAGTGAGGTTATGCTGGGTACTGGAGTTTCAAAGCATGTGTTGAGAAGGTAGTGCACTTTCAGCTCTGTATCGATACCTCTGTTGCTTTCCTAGTATTACATCATTGATGACGACTTGAAGTCTTGTAATTACTTGTTTAGGGGCTTTAAAATGGGTTCAGTTTTGTCAGGCTTCTCCACCATCTGACCATGTACAGACATATTCAGTTTCAACCCCCCATTAACCGCTTATTTAAACAACACTGTCCAGTTCAAGAACATTATTGTTCCCTAAATTTAAATCTTGCAAATATTGTTACATTAATGAGCTAAAAGCAGAACAGACCTGCAACTAAGAGCATTATAAGCTCTATCATCATATGGACACTGCACCACATCACGGTTTAAACCATACATTAGTTCCCACCTAGGCTAGAATAAAAACATAATGCTTAGTATTGGTATTGGTGAATTTTTCATTTTTTAGTATTTATTTTGGTGAAGCTACACTCCTCACTTTTAAACTCTCCAAAACTTTGCTTGAATATTGTTTGCACTGGTATATATGCCCCCAGTCAATGACTAATAATAGTTTTCCTTCATTTGATTAGCTAGTTAGTAATGTGTTCACCTTGGAAATCTATGAGATTGATTGATTAAAGAATTTCATTTGCATCTTTATATTCAATGGAAGTTCTATCATGTTTTCAAAATTTCTGTTTATTTTAGTCATTAATTTAAGTGAACAGTAATTCAGACTGGATCGATGTGAAAATGGTTTATTGTAGAGAAAACTTACCAACTCTGATTCCTTTAGAGTGTTGGTGATAAACATCAACAAATAGTCATTTTGTTTACCACTCAAAATGACCAGTAAATCTACAGGTAAACTAGTGGTAAATCTGAAATAAGACATTTCGTCTTATGATGCCATTCCCAACTATTTCCAAGTAGGTGAATATTAAAACAACTTTGAGTTTGGTCCTATTTTTCCTAATTGTCAAAACTTACAAATAAATTACAAATTACTCACCTAAATGTTTTCACTTTGAGGTTAATTCCAGAGTCCCCTAGGTGGTTGCTCTCTCAGGGCAGGACAGACGAGGCTGAAGCAATTCTAAAACAAGCGGCGCAGAAAAACAAGATCTCCGCTCCAGAGGTTATCTTCGCTCCTGCTGAGGTGAGACAATTACAGTTACTATGGTAAACTGAAGGAATTAAACATATTCAGTGGCAAACTGTGACTATTAGAGATAGGCCTTCATATTGAGCCATAAATGTCAAAATTTGGTCAAAAATGAGAAGAAAACTCATCTATGATAATGCTAATGTCTCCATATGAGGTTTCTAATAGTATGTTAGCACTAACACTAGCACTTCAGCCATTCTACATTAAATATGAATATCTCAATCTTGTGAAAGATACTGAGGACATGAGGGGTCCCCACTAATATTTGATTCAAGCAAATTTAATGCAATTGTATTACACCATAAACAATTAAACAATGTAAATGCATTAACTTGCTGTTGTTTTGTGTATTCCAGATTGAGGAGGCAGTTGCAATGAGAAAGAAGAAACACAGTATTCTTGATATTCTGAGAAGCTGTAATGCAGTTATTATGTGCACTGTTTGTTCACTATTATGGTATGTTGCCATTTTGTACTGACTTTTGTTTTCTAGTTATTGAGGTTGACTTATGAGTAGAAATATCTTTTACCATACATTTAAAATGGACTTTTTCGTTATCATTGTTATATGTACCGATCAGGCATAACATTATGACCACCTCCTTATTTCCACTCAGAGCAGCGCAACACACACTAACACACCACCACCACGTCAGTGTTACTGCAGTGCTGAGAATGATCCACCACCCAAATAGTACCTGCTCTGTGAGGGTCCATGGGGGTCCTGACAACTGAAGAACAGGGTAAAAGGGGGCTAACAAAGTACGCAGAGAAACAGATGGACTGCAGTCTGTAACTGTAGAACTACAAAGTGCACCTATATAGTAAGTGGAGCTGATAAAATGGACAATGAGCGTAGAAACAGGTCATAATGTTATGCCTGATTGGTGTATTTAGGTCATTAGCAGGTGTGTCTGGATTCTGTTTAGTGCTCTCCTCAGTACACATATTGTAGAGTCCATGATTTATAGCATTTGTCATGAGACAAAAATGAATATCAGTGGTCTGAGCTGTTCATACAATATTAGTTTTTAGTTCCCTCATTTATTTTTTTTTCTCATGAAGAAGTTCACTATGGAGAAAGGGAGAGAAAGCTATGGATTAGCCTAGTTTTTTTCACCGTAATTGACTGTATGTATTTTATTATAAAACGCATACATTTGTACTGTCTTTTACTATCAGGATGGTTATCACCATGTCTTACTATGGACTGCTTCTGAACACCAACAACCTTCACGGCAATCCCTTCCTGAACTACTTCATATCTGCAGTTGTGGAGCTTCCAGCTTTCTTCATTGCTATGTTATTACTCAAATACTGTTCACGAAGATTCTGCCAGTCCTCAACTCTCCTTTTAGGTGGAGTCATCATCCTTTTTGTTCAGCTTGTCCCTAAAGGTAAGGCAAATGAGTCACTTTACTTTACTTTAAGGAACACAAATTGGTCTTTTTCAGGACAGCTCAAATCAAGGGTTTATTCAATATGCATTTATCCTTCTGCATTATGACCTGTATTATGATCCCAAATGCAGTCCATCAGCCAAGATCTTTTAGCTGTCAAAATCTTTCTTCTTTAGCTTTGAACTGGAGCTACAAGGCGAACGTTGCTAACAAACAGTGGAACCAAATAGTCTCAAAGTGTTTTCACAAATACAATCCTCAAAAATGCTTTTGAACCTGCTTAAAACAGCATCCAGGTCTTAATTCGGGTCACGCAGACAGGTCAGTGTGGTTTAAAACACAGTATGATATACCATTAACTATATCAGGGGTTGGCAACATGCACTGCCTTGTTGTGGCTCCACAGCAGAATAGATGAAAACAAAATAATAATCCTTCCTTGTAGTGAAATAGAGCATTGATTATTTGGAGATGAACTGACTTATTTGCATTTACAGGGAGATTCACTCAAAAGAGGCCCCGAATATTCTGTAGTAACTCTCTCTAGGACGAAGCGATCTGAATGAAACAATGTGCAATGTGCTCCTTAGTATATAGAGCTTTGAACAAGCCGGGATGCCCCTGCATCGGAACGCGAGAAAAGCAGCTATAGCTGAGCTAAAGCTTAAAGCAGATCAAAGTAAGTCTGCGTTTCCGTTTATATTATATTTAATAACCTATACTAGTACATTAGCATATACTGAGACATATTTAGAGCCAAGGAGGTAAAATGGACATAAAATGCTGCCAAAGTGGTTTGATTTTTGTTGAAAGGACAAAATGGCTCTTTGGGTTGACCAGAGTCACTTGTTTACAGTAATAATGCATGATGGGTTTTTTTGGAGTCGATTCCAGCTCTCGACTCCTTTGTTGGAATCAAGGAAGTCAACTCTTTGACTCCACCTAATGTAAAACCAAGAGAGCTGGTGATAAAGGGATGCAGCAGATATTAAACCATCCTAAACACAGTTTGCCCATTTTTTTGAGTAGCTACAGATTACAGTGATATGAGAAATATTCATAATTATACTAAGTAATCTCAAGTAGCTGATTAATGTTTCAACACATCTTACCATCAGAATTTACATAATTTCACATGATAAGGCTGCTAAAGGGAGTATGAACTTCGACAGTGAGGTACTGAAAAATAAACCATTGTTAGCCAGTTAACCAGGTTTAAAATAAAGGTTTCATACTGAACCAGCTGAATCTTATCTTGTTCCTCTTTCCAGGAGGCTGGGTTTGGCTTATTCGTCAGTTTCTCATTTGATTGCTCTGTTCCACCTTAAAAGATGTAGCAGTTACCTAAATCGTGTACCGGTGCAAGAATGTAACTGCAGCACCATTAAAGGTGAGACAGAATATTTGAATGAAAAGCAGGCAAAAAACGAAGCCAACTACTACAAGCTACATGTTATTTTCCTCAATGTTCTGTGAAAAACATTGTTTACTATTGTTTTTTTATTGATCTTTTTGTTTATTGTACCATTTTAAATCCTTGTTTGTTGTGGCCCTAATCATGAAGAAAATAAAGTGTTTTTTTTTCCATAGCAGAGTATAAAGTGCAGAGCAAAGCACTGTAGAGGCAGACCTTAGGAGCACAGCTGGAACTATTAGAAAGGGGTGGCCAGGTAAGACCTAGGACTTTCCTGGGGTGGCACAGTGCTAACAAAAAAAAAGCATTACTGTTGTAAAATGACATATAAATTGGTGTGTTGGTTTTTCTCAGTGCACAACTAAATCTATTCATTATGTGGACATGAATAAAATATTACATCAACTTCACCATAGCCGAAAGACAAAACTGTTCATGTAACATATTTCAGTTATCCATGATGAAATGATGGTATTTGAATTAAGTAAATTATTTGCATCACTTTTTTCAGTGCACAACTTTAAAAACAAATTCATACAGAGGGGCCATAGAGGTTATTCATTTATGCTGTCCTCACTACAGGTTACACATGAGTCCAGAAAGCTAACCAGACAGCACTGTACAAGAAAAGTAACCTTCAACACATTTGTATATTCAACCGTAAAAAGAAATGATCATGATAAATGATTACAGCTGACTAATTTTTAATAGTTAACTCATCTAACTCAACACCATCACATAGCCTACTTCATAACATAGCTCACAGAGCAGCACTGCAGAAGGACCCAACACACATTCACTCACCTGTTTACTGAGTAAATTAACCTATCACAGCATTATCATTGCTGTCCAAAGAACATCACAAGGCTCTAATAACTGATTGGTAACTCCCTTGATGGCAGATTTTCACCATAAAGCATAACTGATGCTTTATTAATGAGGCTGACTGTCTCACTTTCTGTAACTGGGATGGCCAGAATGGTGGTCATGCTTCATTCCAGTGGCAGTGGTAGTGGCCACCCCTGGCCACCCCTTAGCTATGCCTCTGGTAGACATATCGACCATGTTTTATCAGCGACTGGTGGGCAGTATTGGATTAACATAAAGCCGGTAAACAGACTCATGCTACTCAAACTCAACACGCTTCTGTCAGAAAGTCCCTCGGGTCAATTACAATGAAAAAAAAAACATTATCAGGTCTGCCTGCACCCCAGGGCTTGACAACTCCTACAGGGTGGTCCTAGAGGGCCAGTGTCCAACACAGTTTGGTGATTTACCTGTTCAAACACACCTGATTACACTCGTCTGTGAACTGCCAGGTTTAGTGTGTGTGTTCTGAGTGCTGGACACCGTCCCACTGCACTACTCTGTTCCCTGCTACGGGATTTTATCTTTATGCTTATGGTTGCAATAAAGAACGATTAGAAATGGTATGAAAAACAAACAAAAAATGTATTTATCAAATATACCTTTGCAATGCATGAGAATGGCCAAAAAATGTATTTAAGAAATAGATTTTTAAAATGCATTTAAATGTATTTTCCAAATATATTAATCAAATATATCACTGCTGTTGGAACAAAACCTCGAATGTCCAAAATGATAACTTTACAGGAGAAGGAAAAAACCTACTTTAACCCTAATGTAAATCAATGGAACCAGACTTTCATTTGTATGTATGTGGTAAAACAGCATGCACACAAAATACATTTCAAATAAACAAGATATGAGATCATCAAACTGCATTTTCAGAGTGTCAATACCAAAAACGCTTGTTTTTGCCATGTTAAAGGTTAATTTGCTCATACTGTCAATTAAGAAACTGGAATACAAATTCACTTCAAATGGTGTCCAAACTAAATAGCCAAAATACATATGTAATGCACTTTTCATACATTTTCAAATGTATTTGATTTTAAAATAAATGTATTTCAATATATATGGGGATAATATGTCAATATATTCTGAAATACAATTTAGTATTTGGAATGTCTTTCGGCATGGATTGCAATGTATTTCAAATGTATAAAAGTACATGTTCATGTCTTTTTTCCATATGGAAAAGCAATATTTTCACAGAACGTTGAGATGGTGAAGCTGAAGTAACGTTAGGCTTGTTTTTCACCAGCTTATTCACATTCATTTTCTCGTCCCGTTCCACCTTAAATGTGCTTCAGTGTGCTTTACTTTAAATCTCCTTAATATGTACTAGCAATGTACTGAGTGTAATTAAGAATTTGTATCATATCATGATAATCTGTAGCTGTATCCTTTATCAGTGACTCGGGCGCTGTCTTGGTTGTAAGCAAAAGGAGTCGTTCACTCCTTTTTTCCTGAGAACAATTTGGTATCATTCCGCCGCGCAGGACGACCAAAGATAGGGCTGAGGAGGTTCACAACACCCACGCACCCTAGAGTAACGTAGGTAAATAATCTAAACCGCTCTAATCTGTGTAATCTAATCTGCACAAATGAGCCTCAGATTTATTTTTTCGAATCTGAATATTCACATGAAAAAAAAATGCGTCGTTTGGATTCCTGACCCACCAGTGACTCCACGGACTCTTAGCACGAAGCTGAAGTTAGCTTCTTATACGAATTTTACGCTCCACCTTAAATGGTCCCGCAGTTACGTTGTAGCGCCCAAAGCGCAAGGATAAAACGGCCACACTGTTTAAGGTGGAACGGAAAATTCGAATAAGAACCTGCCGAATAGGAAGATAAATTCAGACGAAGACGCACGAAAAAGACGGAGAAAAGTAGACGCTTACCTCGGATTCACTTCTTTTATCAACGACGTCTAAAAAAGCTTTACCTAAAGGTGTCAGTATCGTCACAGTAACTTACAGTACCTGTACAGACAGAAAAAAACGTTAACACAAAACATTCGCTTGTACAGACAGTCAAATACCCACACCTACACATGAAAACCAGTTACACCTGTACATTATACGGTTCTGTCATGTTCAGGAGATGGTGTTTCTTAAAGTGCGCTGCTGCTCCCTGCTGGACAGCGGAGGTATTACAGCTCCACGCTAATGATCTGACCAGCTTGAATAGGAAAATCACACGAACTCACCTATATACAATGACGGTATTACCGCTTTTAGGTGAAAATTCTTTTGGCCTTCGATATATTGTGGTTCCATGCAGGGGGGAAATAATGATGTGGTCTTTTCAGATCTACCTGAGTTGGCGATCTTTTTAGAGATGGTCGGGAAGTTCGGCATCACTGCAGCGTTCTGTGTAGTTTATGCCGTGACGTCAGAGCTCTTCCCCACCGTGGTGAGGAACATGGCCATGGGAATCTGCTCCATGTCGGCACGAATAGGATCCATCATCTCTCCTTTCATCATACACCTGGGTAAGCAATGCGCCTTCATTTACATTTACACAGATGCTGCATCTACATGCCTGAGTCACCGAGATACAGCAGAAATAAAAAAAAATAAATGGAGAATTTCTCACTATTTCGATCTCAACTTCCAATTCATTTGTGTGCAAAAGACCCGGTTAAATCACAGCCTTTGTTGATGCGAAATAAGTACATTTTAAAGCATATCTACTGTTTATTCACTGAAATGAACATTTTGAAAAAAAAATAAATAGAATGTGGCCTGTACAGATGTTATGGCAAATATTTTTCTTATTGTTTTGTTATTTTTCATACATTTTTATAATTGTTTTGTATATTTTTGTTTTATTTTTTTATTCAATATGTTAAACAAGTAGTGAGACGTTATGCACAAAAATTCTTGCCACCTTGTTTTTGAGCACTGCATGGTGTGTCAGCCCACACCACACTGTCACACTGAATTTGACACTAGTCTCTCAAGGCTGATGTTAGCTTGATGTTAGCGTAAATTTTCCTTCCACCAGAAATAGTACAACAGTTGCACGCTAACGCCTGTACAGGAGTCTGTAATTACTACAACATGAAATGAGAAATCAAATTAGAAACTAACTTCAGCTTCATCTATTTTCTATCCATTGTAAAAGGGTCGTTTATAATCGACAAACCAGGGCCGTATCACTTGAAGTAGGGGCCACTGGTTCAACCCCTAAATGTGACAGTTCTAGTTTTTCTAAACTAAAACATCTAAAGACATCTTGTACGTGTATGAGTGATTTCATACAGTAGCTCACAGTCCGGCCCATAATGCTACTGGCCCACTGAGAATTCTCCCGACTCTCCCGATTACCCACCCCCGCATTGCCCACATCCTTGTGTCAGCTAATTTTGTTCCCCCCAATGTTTTTTAAACTGGACACTTTCTAAAACTGATCCACTTCGCCCCATTTTCTAATCTTTAAATCTTAATCTCTGTAAAATCACCATGTTTCTGTTTTTTCATCTATCTGTTAATTTCACATAAACCATTATTCAGAATCTTCTTATGCTTTAGCGAGATCAAACATTCCATTTTTTATCTGTGTCTTCCTTATACCGTTGACAAGAATACATGCAAAAGGTTTGGACGCCCTTGGGCAAATTACATATTTTTTTCATTTCTAAAGGGACCTCTGTGACCAAATACAATTTTGGAGAAATTTTCATGCACACCATCTGCTCATACAGTGTGTTCCTGTGCCACTGGCTGCCACATAATCCCAAAGCATAATAGATTTTCCCCCATCATGCATAACAGTTGACAAGGTGTTCCATTCATCAAATGATGCTCCTTTTTTTTCTCCAAATCATACCCTTAGTCATTGTAGCCAAAGTTTATTTTTAGTTCATCAGTCCACAGCACTTGTTTCCTAAATGTCTCTGGCTTATCTAGATGTTGTTTTGCATAATTCAGACGTTGACTTTTCTGAAGAGGTCGCAGGTGAAGTTTCCATTTAATGACTCTTCCATGCAAATCTTGTTTGTGCACAGAAGAATGGTGGACCACTACTCCTGTGTCAGCTACAACTTCCTGCAGGTCCTTATCATTTGGGGTTTTGCTTTGCCTTTCTGGCCAGCATACAGGTCTTCTAGGTCTTGCTTTGACATCCACAGTTCCCCTTAACTGCCATTTCTTAATGATACCTTAAACAATGGGCATTGCAAGCTGGAAGCTCTTTGATATCTTTTTATAGCCTTGTCCTGTTTGTAGGCATCAGTTAGCTTCATTTTAGAATTCAGAAAAATTTTATTTTTTTCACTTCAAAAGCAACAAAACGTAGTTCGGTCAGGTATGTTGGAACATTTACATACAACTGTATTTTTTGTCACTTTGCAGTTGCTCACTGAGAGTTGCGACAATGAAAAGGAAGACTGAATCTTGGGTTCAGGATATCTGTGCCTCATGACACATGTTCTTCCATTTCTCAACAGGCAGTTATTACAGATTCCTCCCATATCTATTGATTGGAATCTGGGCTGTGTTGGCCAGCCTCCTCTGCTGGTTGTTACCTGAAACGTCTGGGAAAGTCCTCCCTGAGACCATCTCACAGATGCAGAGAATTAAAGGGTAAGCCAGTTCAGACACATCTGATAACGTTTTGTCTTGTCTGATAAGCTGATACTTATGTTAGTACAGACATTAGTACAAACACTCAAATAGTGTTCTTTTTAATGATTCATAGACATACGCACATTCTAGTCTTAATAGAGCTGTTTATTTTTTTTCAGTGATTTTCAATTCAGTGATTGTGCATATAGTTTGACAGGATTGCATTAATTATGTTATTGTCATAATGGTAATACTTTTTCATTTGTGTCTCATGCAGGATGGTGTGCTTAAGGAAAAATGATGTAGCACCTGGAGCTGCAGATAGAAGTATAACACTCAAAGAGGCGAAAATGTAAAAATAGTAACATTTTAATATCCAAATACAGCTACTTTGACAGATGGACATCAACATGGATGGCATGCTTATAAAGAATACACTTTCATCCAGCAAGTGAAACAGGAAAAGTTTAAATTTTAATGTTTTTGCACTCTCCCTCTATATCTCTAGAACAATGCCAGCTACAACTTTAAGCTTAGTTCAGTCTAACCCTGGGAATAGTGGTGACATTGTTCATTTTTAGCATTATAAATGCTTTACTTTCTACATATTTAGGTGGTATAAGTGCTTTTTCTTTCTATGCATTGGCTGTTCATCATGAACGTTACATATTAGACAGACGTGGTTGCCTCCACACCCCACGCCACAGAGCGTCTTAAACAACATAATAGTACAGTAGAAACCCAGAAGATGTGAGGCGGGCCCCCTGGCAGCTACTGGGGCCTAAGCAACTGCTTATGTCACTTATTAGGTAGTGCCGGCACTGTCTACAATGTGCTTCCTTGCATATTGAAATCCCCTGTTCCTCCAAAGCAAAGTCTTAGCTTCTGTTAGATCACCACATTTCTTCCTCAATCCTCCTGTTTTACATAAACTGTAATTCAGAAGAATCTCATATGCTATTACTATTATTAGAGCAAACAACTTAAAGCTGAGTACTGCTCTAACATATTTTAAATGCACTTAAATGCATTTACATGTATGTTGCTTTAGACTTACTACAGTCATATGCAAAAGTCTGGGCACCCCAGTCAAATTACATGTTTTATTGATTTTCTAAGTGAAAGTAAGTTTACACATCCTCTACCGAATTTAACATATTGGAAAAAAAGAATAAAACATCAAATGTGGCCTGTACATAAATTATGGCACATTTGAAATGTTATGTTTAATTTTTGTCCAGTATGTTAAATTCAGGAAAAAATAGAAACCTTGCTCTTGAATATGCAGAAAATTGCCAATTATTTCACCTTAGAAAATCAACAGAATGAGTAATTTGACTGGGGGGGGGTGTTCAGAATTTTGCATATGACTGCAATTCTTAGCATAGATGACTTCTTAAAGAAAAACTTAGTAGTCAATTAAACAAGTATGACTTTTATACTAAGCTAACTTACTAAGTTTTTTTTAGTTTTTTAGCTTTTGTTCCTAGTTTTTATGTTCTGGGAGCCTCTTCCAGACTCAGACAGACGCAAACAGTGTGACCCAAAGCCGTTAAAAAACCACACACACAATAAAACCATAGACTAATCATTTACAGTATTTATGGCCAGGCCTCAGTGAGAACACCATCTCTGTGGAAAATCACTCTATTGTGAAGAGCACCCTGTAGTGGTCAGCTGTGCTCCGTTACATCAAATGCTTCTTTTTTTGGCTTCACCTGGTGGACTTGCATCTAACCTGGACCAACAGTGTACTGCTACAGAGAAGCCCTGGCTATAGCTAATATTAGGAACATGGGTTTACTATATTTTTTCAGTGTATATATTAACTCTAGACATGTTTCCACCATTTCACGGATGTATTGCTTTCTGACTGGTTTTGAACAGTTTTCTCTCACTTAGTTACACTAAACACACTCCTAATTTATTCAGGCCTTATGTAAGCTATACTATATGTGGAGGTTTTTTTTCCCTATAGTTTTCTATATAACATTTACTGATTGATTTCCAACTGAAACACCTTCATCATACTTAACACTGTTAAGTAATTATTAAGATAATTTGTGCCAGTGAAAATAAAACTATATGCTGAAAAGGTTCTTATTTATTTATTTATTTTTTTATTTTTTGGTTTTGAGGTCTACAGCCTCCTTGTTGACAGGTGTTCAGAAAAATGGGAATACATGAACAATGGATAATGAAAGAGGCTCTAAAATAACAACAATGCACTAAAACTAAAACATGGTACAGGAAACATGTACATCAACAGCAACAACAATAGTAGTAAAACTTTATACAGCACCGTTCATACAGGTAGCAGCTCAAAGCGCTTTACAGACAGGTGATTAAGTTACAGTTATTACAGTAACTGCAATAAAAGACAATTATAGAAGAAAATAAACTGGAATGAATGAAAGTTAAGGGTATTAATTACAAGAAACTTAGACAATAGCAGATATATTTAGAAATTTAATTAATCTAAAAGCTAAATTAAGCAAGATACATTTCCAATGTTTCTTAAGAGCTTGACTGTCTAATAATGACACAGTATTGGTTTAGTGCAGTAGAGAATATGTTTATGTACAAGACAAGAAAGAAAATCAATGTTAGAAGCCACCGTACTCAACATGCGCACATGACCTGGTACTCAAACATCTGGACACCTGTTAACATAGTTTTGTTGATATATGGATTTTAAATATGGCATTTTCTCATATTTCAGTGCAATTTCCACGTATTTCCTGAGTTTCACATACTGGAAAAAATAAAACATAAAAAAGAAAATGTGCCATTACATTTGCACAAGCCACATTTATCGTTTTATTGTGCATGTAAATGTGCAGAGGTGTGTTCTCTGTAGAGGATGTGTCTCATTCTCACTTATAAAATCAACGTGTAATTTGTCCAGAGGCGTGTAAACGTTTGCAGGCGACTGTATATGACTGCACACATCAAATAAATGGTGTGTTAATGCGCCAAGTTAAAATGCTGTCATGCTGCAACAACCGTAGATATGCTAACGAACTACGTTGCTTGGCGGAAGAATTTCTCCCCCGCTTACTAGGAGCAATAATGATTTATTACTCATAATACACTAACTACTTAACGAGCTCTAGTGTGTTTTCTCATTGTGTTCGTTTTATAAATGGCTTCTGTGAATGTACAAGGCTGTCGCTCATTCGGCTTTCTAGTCCAAAAAAGCAGGATCTACTTTGCCACAGTAGGTGTTTTAAAGGCTTACCTAACATGACTGTTTGTTTTGTAGCCCTGAGTCTGATCAGCACTTTCTGTTTGGTTTAAGCCCTCCTCCACAGCCAGCGCTTGCTCTGCCACAAAAACCGAAAGCAAAAGTAGAAGACGTTTTGAGTGTCCAGACACGAATTTTTCGTGGTCCTTTCGAGGCAACATTGGATTATCTTTTGTCATTTTAATATTTTTTATTAGTATTATTGTTATAAGCGATGGAGCTCCGCAGCATGCCTTCGGATATGACACTGAGGTGAGTGAAAGCTGAGTGGCTTGCTGTGGCTTTGTTTCTTTCTCCCTGGAGGGACAGCACAGATGATGGAGATGGTTAACGTCGAATTTAGTGCTTTGTGAGGCTCAAACGAACCTAAAAATAAGAAACAGGCAGACGTTTCTAATCTGTAGCAGGGTATAAACGGCATGACTGTTCGATAGTTTTCTTCTGCGTACGACGAATGTAAAGTTTTATCGTGTTTACATGGGAGAATGTGAAAGAGAAAGTGCAGCCTGTGGTACAGAAATAGCGCCGTGCAGCTGTGCTAACCGACCTCCACTGCTCCTTCCCTTTCTGAGGCCCGTTAAAGCTCTGCGGTGAAGTTTAGGCCTGGGCTTAGTTTATGAGATTATTTGGGTATGAAGTAGCCAGCGTTAGTTCTGTGTCATCGGATAGAAATTAAACTGCAAGTGGTTTAATCCGTCCTTCGCCATTTAAAGGGGTATTCCCCCAATTTTTCAAAACTTCTGGATAATTCAGATGTGCAAACAGTCATTCATTCACAGTGGTCTGACGTGAAATGGTTCAGTCTTTGCAGTGGTGGTGATAGGAACCACAAACCACGTCTACAACTCAAAAATAGGCATTTTCTGCAGTTTATTTACTATCCAAAACCATCAGTGAACCTACATTTTTCTTCTGGGTTTTTTATATGTAATATTGATGATGGTAAAATACTCCTAAATCTGAAAACAATAAGTTTACTTTAGGGACTATTTTGCCTTTGCGTGTACCCCTCCGCCAGGAGTGGATAAAATGGATTCAGATACATTCGAAGCCAGTACTTTATCACAAAACTATCAGAAAACAGTGTCTCAGACATCAGATAGTGTATATATAACAATTTCATATAATAACTTTATGTGGGGAGGCTTTCAGAGGTGGACCTCTAGTTCCTATCATCACTCGGCAAGTTTTCCTAGAACAGAGCAGTTCACACCAAAACCTCTTTGAATGACTGTTTACGTCTCAACTATATAATCATGTAGAATTTTAGAAAAATCGGTGGAGTTGCCCTTAAGGTATGCCTAGCGGTTCTAACATTACGCGAAGGCTGCTGGAATGCCAGCCTGACTGGTGGTGGTGTTGTTGCTAGTGTCGTTATGTTACGTGTTGATTATTTAATTATTCTGTTGTTTAATTCATAGCTTACTGAATTTTGTTGTTTTATGTTGGAGCTTTACTCCTCAGGTTCTCTGGCTGTATCAGATGCATTCAGACATCTTGTTTTAAGGATTTAATACCTCAGCTGGAAAATTTGCATTGCAAATACAATAAATAGGCTGCAGTCAGACTGCAAGGTTTGACCTCAGTGACACAGTACCAGTCAAATATTCTGACATTAATGTATGTTTTTCATACTCGTAAAGGCATTTTTATCTAAGGCCTTATACTTACATGGTTAAAATTCAAGTTTTAAGACAAGTTATAATAGTGAAAATGATGCGTATTTTTCCTTGAAATGCCATAAATACAGAAAGAAAGTTACAAAGATAAATAAGATGTTATGAAAACATAAGAGTTATGAAAAGGGTTTGTTAAAACGTTCTCAACATTTCTGCCACGTCATTAGCTCTCACCTCACTGTGAGGTGGGTGTTTTTCACCCTTATGAGGAGAGTGGTTTCGCTATCAGCAATCTGCGGGACAACTGTCCAGCCTCTCTCCAACTCCCTCCCCCCACCCCCACCTCCCACGCTCTCAATTACATTGCCACCCTGCCAATACTCCCTGCCACCCTGGTAAAATTTTAGTTCCGTCACTGCGTACCTTAAATGAGCTTTGAAGGTACACTACATTCACTTTCCCAGAGGAAAAAGGCATATTTGGGTAACACTTCATCTTGATAGCTGCTTTGTAGATGCTCAGTCTGTCTTCTACTGAAATGTATTAAAATGTTTGTCAAATGCAACTGCGCTTGAGGTTGAATGTGATGGATTCTGTTAAATCTAACCCTAACCATAACATCAACACAAACCTCCACCAGCTCCTCCTGGAGATCTGCTTTCCTGTATTTAGTTCCAGACTGCATCTAACATGCATCTGGTACAGCCAATTAAGAATGTCTGAAGCAGTTAAGGAGCTGGAGCAGGTGTGGCAGATTGTGGTTGGAGCTAGACTCTGCAGGAAGGTAGATCTCCAGGGCCAAGGTTGGTGACCACTGACCTACACATACTCCTAAACCTAACCCTTACCATAATCAACCACCAGAAAGTTTATTAATAATTTAAGTACCTGTAGATCATCTATAGAGGGCTATCAAAATAAAGTGAGACCTTTAAAACACTTAAAAGAAGGAATTGCGATGAAAAATGGTTTCTTTAAGCTTACAACCCAAATGAATGTGTCTGTACTGAAAAAGTGCAGTTCAGTGCCCCTTTTTCTGAGTGTGGCAGAACATCTCAGGTAACAGTGCCAATGCTGTGTAAGCTTCATCAAGGCAAATTGGGGCTATATTGAAGAATCTAAAAGAGAAGATTCATTTGAAATTTTAACGCTGCACAATTTGTGGTATTTCATAGTATTCTAAAATGTGGACAATAGTGAAGCTGTGGAAAGCTGTTTCATGAGTTAATGTGGCCACACTTTTCCGCAGGCAAGCCTGTGCAAGCCAGCTCTGTTTAGTAAGATCAAATAACTGTCACTGATAACTGTCACTGTTCAGTCAACTGTCTTAGCCAATAAAACTGTGCTGTGCTGGATGTTGCCATGCCCTGGTAAAGTCATGCCTCCATATAAAGTTAGATAAACACAGCTGTATCCCATTAATCCCATCAAGTCTTGTCCTACTATTGTTATTTTAAAATTATTACATGGATTATGCTATTAAAAACTATTAAAAAATGAAATAGGTTATATTAAACACAGACATTTGAGCGTATGAAGGCCCTCAGATCTCAGTCACACAGCTATGCAAAGCTGAACTGCTTGTTCGGGAGTTAGATTAGCTTGCTGTTTATATAATTTGCCTGTATTAAGACTCGTGACTAAGCAGAAATTGTCTAATACTGATTAATCATTTAAATTCCATTCACTTTCAGTGTCAGTACAGAAATACACAAAAGTACAGGATGATAACAAAAAGCTTTTCTACTAGACTCGAAGTACACACAATAAATAGTGAGCAGGAAAAAAGCTAAACAATAATAAATAAGAGAAAAATATGACTAGGTGTGGGAAGACAGTGGTATATGAAGAGCAGAAGTGTTCTGGCTGAGGAGGATAGGTTGTGTGGAATTAAAGGAACGCTTCAGCGTTTTCCAGCCTGCTCTCTGTCTGCTGCATTTGTAGCATATGGTTGATCACCACAGTCAAGAATTTCAGCAAAATTCAAAATTGAAGCACTTACAACTGAAGTTGATAGGCAGGCGCTGAAACTTATGAACTGACTGTAAAAGTACAGTCATATGCAAAGGTTTGAATACTAACTATCAAACTCCATGTTTTGTTGATTTTCCAAGTGAAAATACACATTCTCTACAGGGAACAAACCTAAAGGGAAATTGCACCAAATTTTCAAATTTTCAGGTATATTTGTGTTGTAGACATTGTGACCCCTGGTTCCTATCACGTATCATCAGAAATCAGAGTAGGTATGTTTCTCTACAATGAAATATTTCACATCAGAACACTTAATGGAATTTCCTTGAGTGAATTGTGCAGAAATTTTGAAAAAATGGGTGGAATTCCCCTTTACATATGGTGTTTATCTGCAGCTTTTAGTGCACGATTGCATTTTAATTGCTGAGTTTAACATGATGGAACAAAAATAAAACATTCATTCTAAAATGTGCTATAATTTTATGTTTTCTGTTTTATGTTTTTTATTTTTATGTGCTCTTTGTAGAGGATATGTTAACATTTTTCATAAAAAAAAATCAACAAAACAGGAGGCACACAATCTTTTGCACATGACTGTATGCTTTACTCCGAATCGGTATGTTACCATCAGAGTAGATCATGGCCCACTGTCTAGTTCCTTCAGCGCTGGCCATGGATTTCATTTATATAAAAGTGTATGGAGTCAATGAGTTCTTTCACCAAGGAAACATTAAATAAATATTTGTAACTGACCACCTGCTACAGCTAGCTGAAAGAGACTGCCCTCTGACCCCATTGTCAGCAACAAAGTACATAGTCTGTGATGTATAATCTTATTTACTCCCACCTCACCTCTTAACATTAAAGGGGAATTCCATCAGTTTTTCCAAAATCCTGCATAATTAAATTGTCATGTAAATCTAAATTTAATGTAAATCATTCAGAATGGCTTGATGTGAAATGCTCCATTCTAGAGAGACTTACTGGTCAGAATCGTTCGGGTGGTCATAGGAACCAGATGTCTAAAGAATTTGAGGTTACTGAAAGCCAATGCATGAATGCTTTACATGATTCTTGAGGGTTTGCTTTATGATAGTTTTGAGATAGAAGATTGAAGATTTTGGCCTAAAACATACCTTTTTTTATTTGTTCACAGTGGAGAGGTACATGCAAGGCATTGTAAAGCAAAACAGGCCCCTTTTTTCAGATTTATCACTATTTTACCATTATCGATATTAGATGTAAAAACTCCTGTAAAACACATGTAGGTTCACATGTGGTTTTGGATTAAAAATAAAATGAATATATTTTGTTATAGATATTGCGACCTCAACCATTGAATTGTGCAGGTCTTGTACTTCCTTCACAATCATTGGTTAGAAATCTTTAACACCATGTCAGAAAAGTTTTAGGATCCCTCTCAAACTGGCCGCAGTCACGGCTCTTTTTTAACCGCCCCTCTCATTTTGTCATTACAAAGGTGCACAGCAGAGTTTGTAGTATTTACTGCTCTGTGAGTTGGCGCCTGATTCTGCTGAGGTGGAAATGATCTGCTCCTCTCTCTCAATATAACTGGAGTAGGGAAGTTCTTCACCGTGCGAAATTTGAGAAAAGTAGGAGTACATGTTCCGAACAAAGGGTACTGTGTGTGTGCAATTT